ATTGGCAATGATATTATCAATCTTATCACTAAAGAAAATAATATAGTAAAATGTTACGTAATTATTATCATTTATCCTTTTTCAATAAAAATTTTAAATTTAATAATTAATTATTTAAAATTAAATAATTGAAATCTATTGGCAATGATGTTATCACTCTTATCACTAAAGAAAATAATATTAGTAATTAAATAATTTTCTTATTAAAACCGAAAAACAAAAATGTTTGTGTTTGCACGAGAGAATGAAATGATGAATGATAGCAATTTGAAAGTAATTCTTGAAATATTCGAAGTGATAAAAAATATTGCGGGAAGCTTTCTCATCTCTTTTTTCTTATGATAATAAAAGTTTTTCGATTAAAATGATGAATTATCATCGAATTAACTTTTAATGAATTAATCAATTAGTTATAAAACAATTAAAAGTTAAGTTAACGATCAATAATATCGATAAAATCACATTATCAATCTTATCATTGAAGAAAAAAAACGGTTATATGGAATAGATGAAGATGATGAGATATTGAAAAATAGCTGAAAATATTACGGGAATTTATTGATTGACTTTTTCTTTGATATATATGTTAACAATAAATTATTGATTTAAATAATTTAATTATAAATTGATTTGGAAGAAATTTATCAATCTTATCGATAAATTATTAGTTATAAAACAATTAAAAGTTAAGTTAACGATCGATAATAAATAAAAATTAACTTTTTAATGTATGAATAATTTTTTTCCATCTATTTAATATTTAATTATAAAGGAATTAATTAATCGTTTAATTTTAAATTTGATTTGGAAGAAGTTTATCAATCTTATCGATGTTTCCAATTAATTTTATCATTATAATGAATTTGATTAAGATTTAATTAATTAATCATAAAAATGAAAAAATTAATTTTTAATGTATGAATAATTTCCTTCCATCTATTTAATATTTAATTATAAAGGAATTAATTAATGAACTAAAAATCATACTCTTTCCATTTATTCAATTCTAATCTAATACTCATTAATCAAACTTATGTTAATTACGGATAAATGGGTGATAACAAAAATTTGCTAAATTTGTTAAAACGAAAAAGTTTATATGAGTGATCAAATTTTTGCTTATATGTGTAAATATGAATAATTATGCATTTAAAGAATAAAATTTAATGATTACATTAATTAATTAATAGACAAAAATATTTTGCATTTTATATTATTCATAAGAAAGGGTCATTATTAATGCATATGAAATTCACTGTTGCATTGCTATGATATATCTTTTATTAAATCTTATATATTTAATTCATTAATTAATTCATACTTAATTACACATTTAGTTGTACATTTTAGTATGCGTAATTCATGATTCACTTAATTTTTATTTTGGGAACAAATTTTAGTTTATTATTTTAATTTGATTAATTTTATATTTTCAATTCTTTACTATAAAACAAACAATATAGCTAGTTGTTATAGCTAATTTATCCATCGATGAAATCACAAATTTTAACTTTTAAAAAAATATTAAATTTTAGGAAAAAGAAAGAAACAAAACCAATCACTCATTTTTCAACAATAAAATAACATTTATGCAAATTTGCAACTTTGTAATTTGTCAATGTAAAATTTAAATTTGAGTTTGCAAATTGGCAATATAAATTTTTGAATTAATTAACAACTTTTAATGTAGTAAAACAAAATTTCATCCAACTAATCAATGGGGAAAATTACTGATGCTTAAATTTTATTAAAATAATAATTAATTAATTCACTTAATTGACAATATAGTAATTTTCAATTAAAAAAAAGACGTGCAAATAAACAATTATTGTTAAATGTTGCATACAACTGGTAAATAAGCAACAAATAAACAGTTATTTTAATTTAATGATAAAAAAAAAGACATAAAAGAAGACCTTTTATTAAAACAATAATTAATTAATTCACTTAATTGGCAATATAGGAATTTTCAATTAAAAAAAAGAGATTTAAATTAACAATTATTGTTAAATGCTTCATACAACTGGTAAATAAGCAACAAACAAACAATTATTGTCAAATGTTGCAAACAACCGATAAATAAGCAACAAATAAATAATTAATTTAATTTGATTGTAAAAACAAAGGACATAAAAGAGGAATAATCTATTTGTTTTACAATTTAAATAACAAAAAAAAAATCGTTTCATAATTTTTTAATTTTAATTAATAAATTTAAAAAATTAAATTAAAATTGAAAATTTGAATTAATTAAAAATATTTGTAAAAATTATTTCAAACCCAAAAAAAAGCAATTCAACTAATATAAAATCCGTGTAACAATGCTTATTGCCAACCAGTATGTAAAAGATGAAACATTGCTGCTATTTCATACGATCAAAAATCAATTTCATTTGTACCATTACATTTTGTAACTGTCACTAAATCGATCATTGATCTCTGTCAGCAATCTTTTCTTCCGTCTTTTTTTCCAACCCAATTCAACTTTTTTTTACTCTATCATCTCTAACTTCTATTCTTTCGTCTTTCTTCTCATTCTTACCGTTCTATAATTATTTCTCTCTTCCTCTCTCTCTTTCTGTATCCCTGTAATAATCATTCAATGCATTCATCAAACTATTTATCTCTAAGACATACATTATCATTACACATTATTCCCGCTATTTCCTTTCTCTTTATTGTCTCCCGAAAAAAAAAAAAGAGTAAACTATTGGATGAGAGATTGATTGTTACAAAGATGTACCAAAGATCATTCATTCATTGCCTCTCTTTCTTTTTCGAAAACTATTTTCCATTTTTTTTTCTCTTCCTATATAATATTTTCCCTCTATTTTTTATACTTTTTTCTTTTGTTTTTTGAAAAGCTAATTAATGCAAACAATAAATGAATAATCGAATTTTGAATAATGAATAATCGAATAATAGAAATGAATAATCGAAAAAATTGAATAGAAATTAAAAATATAATTTCATAGTTCTTTCGTGAAAATTGTAATTTAGTATTTTATAGACTAAATAAATTTAAAATTTTGTGACAGCGACATTACAAACTTTGCCTGAAAGTATACCCAAAGATATTTGTACTATAAAATAAAAGAAAAAGAGAGTTATTAAAATTAGCAGAATAATAAATTTTGAATTAATTTGAATAACTAAATTTAAATCAAACAAAATTATTTACAGTTATAATTATAATTATATGGCATATAAAATATTTTATATTTTATAATTACATTATTATTTTCAATTCCATTTTTAGCTTTTATTTTTGTCGTAATTACTCATCTCAATCAATAATAGCACCTTTATAGTTATATGATGTAAGTATTTAAAAAATTATTGTTTTATACCTAAACTAATTAATAATGATTAAATTCTTTGTCTGCTGAAATAATTAACAATTGTAACGAATAAATGTTTTTAAATGGTTAACTAAATTAAAATCAAAAAAGAGAATTTAATAATACCAGCTGTAAGGATAATATGTAAATTTTCAAAAGTTTTATTCACAAAAATTGAATTAATTTTTTTGGTGTTAAATTAAAATTTAGGATGCAAAAAGAAAAATGAGAAATTATTTAACTATTAAAATTACTGTTCCTATTATATTGTTTAATTTGATTTTTAACTAAGCATAAATATTTAATTTCGCTCTTAACTATACATAAATCTTTGACATGAAAATTTTCAATATCAATTTTAAAACATTTCCTAAAAATTGATTACATTCTTTTATTTATTTATAAAAACAGTAAAAAGTATAATTATAAAGTATAATTATAATTATAGTAATACTTATAATTTAATTATAATTATAGTAATACTAATAATTATAATTATAGAAAGTAATTTTGAAAAAAAAGAAAGATTAGGGAGGTTTTTCTGTTTATTTAAAAATTGCATACTTTCGTTTTGATAAAGCGAGCAAAGAATATAATCAAATCACAGATATCAAAATGCATTTATATATTATTTCATATGTACAGTGCAGGAAATCATATTTTGCGAAACAATTTCGATGTAAATATTTAAGGAAGACTTTTAAAAAAAATTATTTTATAGTCTATAAAATAAATAATTTTCATAGAATGTATAAGAAATTAATTAATGAGTTCAAATTAAAAATATTATTTCATACAATGAGATACTGCATGTTCCTCTCATTAAAATTACTAATATATCAAAAATTTGTCGATCCAATTTCCTGCCATAATAAATTTATTGCATATTTTTTTAAGTTTGTTTTTACAAAATTTGTTAATTTACTATTTCAATAGATAAAGAAATTAATTATTTATATACTATGAAATAATCGAATGCTTTCAAGTTACTATTTTATATTATATAATTTTGAAAATGTATTTTATAAACTATAAAAGAAAAGAAAGAAAAAAATTTTATATACTATTGGTTTTAGTTGTTAAATCACTTTGAAAATATATGCTTAATTATTATGAAATATTTGCATGTTTTATTGTCTTAATTATTATAAATAATAATCGCATTTTCTTTTATTGTCTTAATTATTATAAAATAATTGCATGTTTTATTGTTTTTTTTAATTTATGTGAAAATTATCGTTCAAACCTAAAATTCATTAATTTTTTATTTCATTTTATACAAAATATTTTTTCTTCAATTTTAAGGTATATCATGCAAGAGAGACACATACACTTTTGAAGTTTGTTAGAAATGAACTAACACATTATAGGTCATTTTTTTTTGCGGGTAAATTGTAAAAATCGATTACTGAAATATTTTGTTTATCATTTGAATGTTATTGGCAGCCAGTGTATGTTCATCATTGAATGATTACAGCAATTTTTCATAAATGATTTCTTAAGTTTAATTATTTTAAATTATTTCATCCGAAATCGTTCTTTATTATTGCTGTTGTTGTTGTTGTTGTTGTTGTTGTTGTTGTTGTTGTTTTTCGTTATAATTAATGGAATGATATATTTCATATAATTAAGCATAAAATTTATTTCAGATTTTTAATGATGCAGAAATTATTGATGATATATTTGATAGTATTGTTATCGTTATGGGGAAATGTTTACAGTTATAAAATACTGATTTATTCGCCTCGTATTGACACCGAAAATGTCAATTATTTGGGTCGTATTGCTGATGAACTTGTAAAAGCCGGCCATGATGTTGTCAGTTGAATAATTAATACTGATATTAATATATTAATATAGATAATAATAGATTGCTACGTTAAAGAATATATGAGTGCAAATGAATGACATATTAGCAACGACATACATATTGTAATTAATTATTTGCTGCTTAATATTAAATAGTATAATTATATTAAATAATATATGTATATAAACTATATGCTATTAAATATTGAAGACTTGGAAATATTAATGATATGTAAGGTATTAAGAAGGTATTAAGAAGAAAGTATTAAAAGTAGAAAGTAGAAGGTATTAAGAAGAAACAAATTAATAAACTATTTCTTTTTTTCCTGTAAATTATAACTATGCTTTATATACTTATATTTTATGACTTACATATTATATTATATATTATATATCTTATAACTTATATATTAAAAATAACAATGAATTAATTTTACTTTTCCTTCAAAACAAATAATGTGAATTTCTCAAAATTTCCAACTTATCATATTGGCAAATTATATAATTTAAAAATTGTCAAATTGATAATTTACACTTGTTTATATATAATTATTAATTCTTATAATTAAATTAACATCTGTAATTAATCATTAATCGTTGAATAATAAAGTTTTGCAATTGAAATCAGTCATATATTATTGTTGAAATATTTTTCTTTCATATTCTCTTATACTTCATAACATAAATTTATCTGAACAATTATAATTAATTATCAAACATTTGCTGTTCACCACATTCATCCAGCCTCTATTTCAGGTGATATATTTACCTGTGGCAGATCCAAACGTTAAAGTAAATGGATCGAAATTAGCAAAACTTATCCAAGACAAGTCATATTCTTCCTTACTCTCTACAACTCCCATTCCTATAGAATATAATACATTTCATAATGTATGGTCGACAAAAGCATATTCTTTTTGGGAAATTTTTAAGGTTAATGAATGAATTAATTAGTTTTTAATTAACGAGAAGTAAATTAATAAATAAGACAATAACGTATTTGAGACTATTAAAAATCATTAATTACGTATGCTTACATATTTTTTTTCAGGTACTTCGCAGATTTACCGATGTACAATTAACAAATTGCATCAGTAAGTTTAATTATTTAATTATTTAATTGTTTTAAATAACATTTTAAAATAACGCACGTTTTATATTTTCTAAGTAAAGCCATTACAAGTTTTTATTTTGTTGAATTGAATAAATTTAAGTAAAATGATTGAATATCATGCAATATCGTTAAATAACCAATTAAGTTAATGATTTACATTTGCGCAACAGAAGCCTGATGCCAATGTATGACTTTGTCAAGTTGATGATTTACATTTGCGCTAAACATTTTGCGCATAATGTTTTGACATTTGCGCAATTATTGAATGATATTCATATTTCGCTCAAATGTTTTAATTTAAAGCAGAAAGATCACATGAAATCAAATTTCAAATATTCTTTTAAAGCAAAATACTGATCAAACTTTTTCACATTTTTAAAACTTTTTTTCTTCTTTATTTTATCACACATTATCATATCATATCATATCCATATCATATCATTTTTTTCATCCAATAAGAGCAATTGCAAGATGACGAATTGTTGAAGCGTTTAAAATCAGAAAATTTCGATTTCGCAATTACCGAATTGGTAAATTTCTGTGGTTTTGCATTATTCAATAAATTGGGCATTGATAAGTATGCAAGCGTATCAATGACCGATATGATGGAAGTAATTGTGGATACATTAGGAGTTAGCAGTAGCCCAAGTTTTGTGCCAGGTTTTTATTATTTAATCATTAATTTGTAATAATAATTAATTTGAAGTATATTTAGCAAATTGTTATCCTTTTACAAAGGCAAACTTAAATAGGAATTAAATAAAAAATTTTAATTAAAATAATTAATAAATTATAATTACTTTCATTTTCCTTTTTCCTTTTCCATAATTTTTCAACTTTTAGCAACAATATCGTATGATATGCCAGATGAAATGAATTTTTTTGAGAGGCTTATCAATTTCAAATCATATATGCAAATTTTTTCCCTTCAACGTTTTCTGCTATATCCGAAAATACGTCAGGGATTACGTGAATATCTACCGGATGAATTTCATCTTCCGGTATGTTCTTGAATGTATTGTACGTTGTTGTAACGTTTCTTATATATTATAATGCTCTTGAATATATGTATCACATATATTATTAATATCATATATATATATGATTACTAATATAAATATTTAATTGTATTTTCTTTTGTTTTAACTTCTAAAAATATTCGTTTCAGAAGTCGATCATTGGTTTGAAATACTATTATTGTTGAATTTAAATATGATTGTTCAATTAATTTTCAGGAAGCAATCAGAAGATGCTCTTTGGCACTAATAAATTCCGATGAATTCATACAATTCCCGCGGTTGAATGGACAAAAAATAGTATTCATCGGTGGGATAGCGCTAGATAAACCGGAACCATTGAAAGAGGTTAAATGTGATTTAATTTTGGAATTAAAATTATTTACTTAATGTTATTAAATTATAGCAAAGGCATTTACCGATAATATAATACTGAATTATACTCAAATTAATACAAAATTTTAATTAACTTAAAATTAGTTTATTAATTTATTTAAAAATTAAAATTTTATTTATTACCTCAATTTTGGATTGGTAACCAAGCAATCGGTCAATTTTCTCTCTGTTGTATCATCCGTTTTAGAATTGAAATAAAATTTCCAATAATAAGTTCATTTTTTCAACTTTAACCTTATTGAGAGTTATAAATTAATAAACACTGATAATGAGAATGATATATCTGTTAATTAAATCATTAAAAAAAAACATTATATTAATCTATTTAAATTTACCTTTTATAGCGCGTTAACTTTCTTATGAAATTTCAACAAAATATTTTTGCTTTAAAATAAGTAATGAATGATAAATGGAAATGTCATCATAAATGATAACTCTGATAGCTAACTCTGATAGTATTCTGATAGTATTATGATGATAGTTTATTGATAAAGCAATTGATAGCTAAATGATAAGATGTTGATATGTATATATTAATTTATTCCTTCATATTTAGGAATATCAAATATTAATGGATCGAGCAAAAAATGGTATTGTACTGATATCATTTGGTACTATTTCAAATATTAATCAAATTTTGCCAAATATTAATGATAATTTAATTAGCGTATTCAAGAGATTTCCGGAGGTATACATTCATTAATTGTTCTAATTAAAAGGAAAAATAATCTTTGTATTGTTTCTTATTTAATTTTTTCTTCTAATCATTGATAAAAGAAAAATGATAAAAAGATCGTAATTTGATTTGATTTCATATTGGAATAAAGAAATGATTATTTACAGTAACACTGATTAACATACTGTATCTGTCATTTCACGTATATCATTTGTTATAATGAATAATGATATACGTGAAATGATCATATTTCTACGTGAAAAATATCATTACGATAATCAAAAATAATTCATCAAAAATAAGTTATTCATTAATCATTATAATAAATGATTTAGATAACATTTTTGCTAAATTATGATATTGATAATGATTTGATTGCGAATATTCCGAATGTGATTAAGATAAATTGGATACCGCAAAAAGATTTACTTGGTAAGATTATGATTAAGATTTATCATTCTTATCATAGAAATACAAAATAGTTCCATTTAATTCTATAATTAATATAACACTATATGATTTAGCTAATAGAAAATTATAATTCATTTATGATTGTACTATTTGTTTAATATTAATTAATTAGAAATTTCAATAATTAATTCATATTCTAAAGATGTAAATTTTCTTTTTTTAGTGCATGCAAATTTGCAAGCATTAATAACATGCTGTGATTCGAATACAATTATGGAAGCGGCGTATTCTGGCGTACCGCTTATTTGCATACCATTTTCTGCGGAACAAGTACGTGGTAGTCGTGTAGCACAACGTGCTCAAATTGCAATTACAATTGAAAAATTAGCTATCACGGATGAAAATTTAGCAAATGCTTTGGATAATATTATAAATTCTAAAATGTTAGTTTGGATATTTTAATGATTTTCGTTCAATTTGACGACCCGATATCAAATTTTATTAAATTATAAAAATTTTCAAACATAATACTTAAGTATAGAAATATTGATTGAATTTTAGAAGACTTTATTTTATCATCATTCAATTTTAGGCTATTACTTATCATTCAATTTTATTGAAAATATTATTATGCAACAACTACAGATTTATATTTTTATCAATGTATTATCTCTTGGATATTATCATATCAATATTATCATTGAATATTTTAATTTGTTACTGTAGCTGTCACTTAATAGTTTCAATGTTTCCTAAATTATTATTAAAATCAAAAATGAAATTTTTTACAAAAATATCGTATAATTTTGAAAATATTCAAATTTATCCAAAAATTTGGAAATTATTCAAAATAAGCAATAAATAAGCGATAATAGAAGAAAAGACAAAGGAAAAAATTTGTACAATAATTATTAATAGAATAATAATTATTGCTTTTAATTATCAGTTGAAATTAATTACTTAAATACAATATGATTAATAATTTACATTACATTTGTCATGTATAAATATGTTTGCACTATTTTTTGTAGGTCAATAAAATATCCATATTGGTATAGATATTAATGTGATTTAGACTAAAAATTATTATACCATAATTTTAGGTATAAAATGCGAGCAAATAAAATGGCAGGAATGATACGTGATAAGCCAATATCAGCTCGTGAATGTCTTATTGGTCAAATAGAATATGCGATAAAATTTGGACCACTTGACGTTTTTGATTTTGCATATAATGATTTATACTTTTATCAGTATTATCTCTTGGATATTATCATACCAATATTATTATTGCTCATTTTAATTTGCTACTGCAGCTGTCGCGTAATATTTTCAATATTTCGTAAATTATTATTAAAATCAAAAATGAAATTAGAATGAAAATTTCCACATAATTATCATATAATTATATAATTTTGAAAATACTATATGATTATATATATATTATATTTATTAATAAATATTCATATAATTATTATGCTATCATATAATTTTGAAAATATCATATAATCATATAATTTTGAAAATATCATATAATCATATAATCATATCATATCATTTTTAAAATATTTAGATTTATCAGAAAAATTTGAAATTTCTTAAAATTATATTAGAAAGAAAAACTAACCTATAAAATATTAAATAAATATAAGTAAAAAATATTAAATATTAAATATAAAATATTAAATATATATTAAATATTAAATATTAAATAATCTAACCA